AGAACTGGAACTTGCACTCCCAACCATCTTTCCAATAGCAAAATTACTATTCATTTCACTGTACATTACATTTCACTTTAATGCATGTCCCTAAGATAATTCTTTAAATCAAAAATTATTTCAATATACTATCAGCTTTTAGTATAAAACTGACCTAACAATTTCTTTCCAAGACCCTGACTTCAGAAAACATAAAATGTAGACAAAGGTAGCTGAGGGTAGATGCATGCAGGTAGAATGATCATTTGATTCCAATGCATCCTTCAAAAATGTGACTGGTAAATGTAGATGCTGAAAAGATTTTTGACCCTGTTGTCTTTTTCTTTAACAAGTTTGCGAGCTCATGCTCAGCTTCTCATGAAATAATGGGCATGGCATTACACTAGTACCCAAAATGATAACTTATTAGGACTGATATTGCAGACTGTGTACACACTAGTAGAAGGAACGGGACTATTTTTTAATCTTGTCATTTCAGTCACTTTAACCACATGCATCATGACACATTACCTGCCCCAATTCATCCACATACCCATACCCCATTCCATGTATCATTCTGGTTCCTTATACAAGAATGATTTACCTGCTATTCTGCACAGTTCCAGAAAATTCTCTCTCATGTCTGTACTATACAAAAATGCAGAATTCTGTGCTATCAAATTTAGCTTAATTTGTTCCTGGGCAGTTTTTCTTCATATCTAAGTTCAGCCCATAATTACCAGCTGATGTGAATTGCTAAGATAAAATCAATAAAATAAAATAAATCATCCTAGAGGTCCTATTTCCAAAGACACCTCACAGGGAGGTTTTTCTGATAACTGAATGGGTGGTGAATGGGAGCATAAGGTGGAAAATATGGCCAGAAATTTTGTAAGCCAGATCTGCTGCTTAAGAAATTGTTCTGTTAAACTGCAACATGAGATACTTGCTAGAAGAGCAGGCAGAAGCAATMTAAATTAAAGGTAGAAATAGACAGGACATAGCTTAACAGAAATCCCAAATTATCCTCTCCTGCTGTATACAATTTTTAAAAGATAGCGAAATTTGCAATTCTTGGAATTCTTAGAAAGAAATCCTCTTCAACAATCAGTTGAGACACTTTGCCACAGGTTCGCGGCACAACCATTTGAAGGAAAAAACTGAAATGATTTTTCAGGGTTTCTCCTTTGTTTTCTGACCCTTCAGAAGATGGGGCTGGATGTCCAGAGGGCTGCATGAGCCCTCTGTGGCGGGAGAAGCAGAAGGAAGCTCAGAGACGATTGCTGCAGGACATGCCTGATGCACCAAGGGATATCTTGTTTCTCACCCACCATAAATACACTCAGAATTATTAAGAGAAACATCATTAACTTGAGACTTTATGCAGCGGCTGGGGAATCTGCCTGGGATTTGCTTATCAGTGCGGCTGCACTCTGCGCAGCCGGCGCACAGCTCCAGGCAGCGGCTCGTGTTGGCTCAGGCCCGCGCTGACAGGGGCCCTGTCACGTATCCCGGCCGGGGCTGGAAGCGGCTGCAGAGCCGGGCCCGGCGCGGGCCTGGCAGGACACAGTGGCGGCGGCGGCCGCGCTTGGCCCCCGGCGCGCGCGAGGAAGCGGCTTTCCACCCAGGTTGTCCGAGGGGAGGGACACTGGAGCCGTGGAAATWCCCCGGTATTAAGGGAGAACAAAAGAAGAGGTGTTGGAAGCTGCTGTTGAAAAAAAAAAAAGGAGACAGGCTTGCTAAGCCTGTGCGCTGCCAAACCATGGGACAGCTCGTGGTGGAGAGCTCCCAGTTAAAGCAGAGGAAGGTCTGTGGTGCTCTGAGTGCTCTAAGGGCTGCAATCCCCACTAAAACCTACTGCACCCAGGGGTTTTACAGGCAGTCAAGTCAGAGCAGGATACAGGCGCCACAGCGGGGGGCTGCACCCTGGGACTGTCTTCCCGCCTCCACCTTGGCTCTTTCCACCTCCTTCTGCGAGTCCCCAGCTTCCCCCTTCCGATTAAAAGGTGGGGCTGGATAAGAAATCAGTGTACACAGCCYGTGAATTCCTCAGTGCCGCTGTCATGGCTCTGCACAGGGAGAGGAGCAGAGCCTCCGGCAGGCCGGGCCAGCCCGGCGGAACCAGCACCGGGACGCGCCGCTGCCTCCAGACCTCCCTCCCCGCCGGGATGGTGCATCTGGAGAGGGAGGCTGAGCAGCAAACTGTAGGCGCGAGGCTAAAATAGCTGGTCAGAAATCCCTCCAACCCACACATATCCTTCCCCGAGAAACGGATATAAAACCTGCTATTTTACAGCTCGCACCCTTCRGTAGTGCAGCCGTAACGAGGAGTTTTACTGAAACAAAGGGAAAAGTTACGATGATTTATAAATTCGTTAAAACACCAGGAGAAAAATCAGCGGTTAGTGCAGTCCTAACCTTGACTGCCATGGGTTCTGCTTCAGGCCCAGAAAAGCGCTGGAATAAGTAGTGTAACATTTTGTCTTCTAGCTTGCTAGCGGCTACTGCAAACAATAGAAAATACAAGCACATACCTAGAATAACTCCAGCCTTTGAAAAATGAGCTCACACCTAAAAATACTTCCTCTTGTTGCTGTATAACTAAGGTTTATGATAATAGCTGTTACACACGTATAGCAAAGAGAAAAAATAATTTCCCCAGTGTGAGGCAAAAAATTGTGTATTTGCTTTTCTTCTACAGAGAAGCATTTTAATCTGTAATGGTCCAGATTATTTATTCAAATGGCAGGAATGAACAACCTAAGCAAGGAACAGATAGGCATCAACAACATATTAATCAGCCAGGAGTCTGTGCAATCAAATTGTTGATTGGGGTAAGGAAAAGCAATACTACAATGATTCTTTGTAACAAAATTGCCCAAATTGTGCCAAATATTAATAAACAAACAACCTTAAAATGTATCTGAATTCTACTTGTTCAATTTGAAACAATTACTGTTATTATTTACATTCCCACACATAAGCCCACACAGCTTGCACTTCCTGGGATATATGTGCTATTAACTTTTAACTATTCTGTGAACCAAGCCTGAATTTCACCAGCTCCTGTCACTTTGTAGCACAAGAGTTTTACACAATGATTGTGATGAGAAATCAGGACTGTGTTCCAGGACCTAAATTTATCAAAGAGCAAAGCTAGGTTTTTTTTTCAGGAGTTTGTCCTTAATTTTTAAAAGTATTTGCTGCATTAGATTTTGGTTAGGGGCTTAGGTAGAGTTTTGCAGCCTTGTTGCCGAGACACTGATTTCATCATTYCTCGACCAGAGGACAGAGTGCTGCAACTATTTAGCACGATTTACTGTAGTGTTGCATCAGTTCCCTACTGAGTAGCACAGACCTGGGAGCAAACGTTTCTTTAACCTCAGAAGAGTGAAATTTTATTTATGTAATGGCTCAACACTGACCTGAAGACAAGAAGAGCATTTTGCAATGCAGTTTTCTCAAATTCTTGATAGAGAGAGTGCAAGTGGTTTTTAGATTTTAAATTAAATGTTTGAGCAKGATTCTTTTCAAGTGCAACCCCAGCACTGCTCTCAAAGCACCGGGGAGACGTTTACCGCTGAAGTCGGGGAAGGCACGTTCAGGCTAGTGACTTCCCAGCGGGGAAACTGAGGGAACTGTCCTGATTTCCCAAGGCAGGCACATCCTCGAGGGCCAGCGCAGTCTGCAGCCGGACAAGGCAGCCCCGCGCGCTGGGTCCCTGCCGGGGATGCTGCACCCCCCACCTTGCACGCATTGTTCCAGGTGCTTCCTTGCCCCCCACCCCCCGCACATTGTTATGCTGGGTCCCCCACCCTGCATTGTTCTCCTGCACCCACCCGAGCTGCTCCCATCCGCTGCCGCCTGCTCCCACTCCCACTCTCTCCGGCCACCTTCCCCACCCGCTTCCATACTTCCCCCCAGCCTCGATGCGTCAACACCGCTTCCCTCGGGAAGAGCTGCACTTGGACTGTCACAACTGGATGCTTGCAGCACCCAGCCCTGGGACATCCCACCCGAGACGATTTAAACAACACGCTCTTTATTACACCCCAGCAGACCTGCCCCAAAGGGCTATTACACTTTCAAACAGAACTCAACAGGCTAGAGCAAATACACATTATACTAAAATTACAGAAAAGATGCACAAAAAGAAGTGGCTATACAGAATCCACATTATTATATGTTCAAAAAATGTATGCACAGGAATAAAGTGTATGGTTTCTATTGTTTCCATTGTTGATGTAAACAAAAGCTAAATCCTTTCTAATGAGCACTTTTTCATGCATGAGAGCAGATGGAGTTAGAAATGCATTTCTAAAAAATAGAGAAGGATCGCATCTATAGTCTAGTGTTAGTTATGGATAGGTTTTGTAAAACAGCTTGTATAGAAGGTATACAAGCATTTTTAGCTTGTAATACAAATCAGACAATGATTGAATGTTTAAAAAGATTTTTTAGAATATACAGGAAAAAGACAAAGCTAGCCAGCTGTCCTGTCATAATTTAGATCCCCTTGCTTTTATTACAATTTTGTACATACCTGTGTCTTTAGAAATAGTTATCTGCATTGATTATATATTTCATTTAGGCATAGTCATCTATGGGACTCTGGGAGCTCTTAGAATGGACAACAGCGAAGATGAACTTTGATCAACTTAGAGCAACACTTGTTTCATAATATTAAAAGTGACCCTTCAAACACACAACACTTTTACAATGTTTATGTCTCTCTTTCTGTGATGCTTAACTTTTACTGAGTGCTTCTGTGATGCTTAACTTTTACTTTCAAAATAGCCCCTCTTTTAGTGAAATTATACTTAATATGTAAAAGGAGGGATGATTAAACTATTCTCCATGCTCAAAACAGAAGTTAATCTTTGCTAATCCTTGAGAACAAAGCAGCCATGTTTGCATAAAGTTGATCAGGTTTATAAATAAAATTAAATACCTCTATTCATTAGCAATTAATATATGGTGCATTTTAACAAGTAAAAAAAAAAAAAATCTATAAATCTTACCATGGCTTATGCGATGAAACCAGTAGTATGCAAAGTCTACCCCCAGGAAAGTCAAATACCATGTCCACGGCGAATGCCAGGGCAGTTCAAAGAGTCTGTAGTTATCCCATACATAGACATAACTAATTATGTCAATGCTTCTGAATAAAACACTGAAACAGAGAGACAAAAGCATTCTCAGTAATTTTAGCAACTTTAATTACAGAAATGTTTTGCTACACATTTAGATTTTATCAGATTTATGCTGTTTCATAACTCATACCAAGGTGTGGAAGTTCTGCAGTCTTTGTCAAGTAATACTGCATTGATTTAGGAGTTCTCTTGCTTCAGATCTGTGAGGATTCTCATCTTAGCCTTCATCCATTCATCTTCTGTGTCTTGGTATTGAGCAGTCCAAAACTCTTAAGCACTCTGGTGCTGTGCATGCGCTTTTTTCTTCACAAATCTGGACGAAACCTGTCCGTGCTAATTTGCACCTTAAAAGTAACCGACTGTAATGGTAATTATTGACATTCAAGTGCTAATGTGTGATATCAAAAGAACTTGGCTATTTCCACWGTAAATAGGATGCAGGTAGATAAGAGGACTGAGGACTGGGGAAAGATATCCTCATTTGTATCACTGCCACATCTTCTCCTCCAAAGCCTTGTTTCAAACACTTGAGAAGCCTCCTATATACCTATATGTACTGGTTATGCAAAATTGCTTTAAAAAAATCCTGGAAGCAGCAAAGCCATAGTTTACCTGGGGACAACTGCACAGAAGTACAAGGAAACCTCAGGGAGTAAGCTGCTGTTGCTTGCACACCCGCCYGCACAATGATTGGAAGCAGCTCTGTGCTGATTTCTTCGTGCCCAAAAATGCCTCCAGAACATTGTATTTCTGGCATTAGCACCTATTCCATAATCATATTCTGAGTGAGACCAGAAGGAAACATCTTGAGTCTCCACTGTTAGTCTCTCCATTAATGAGGAGCAAAGTCAGCTGCAAATCTCAAACTTCCACTGATAGCTTGAAGGCAGAAACCTGTCACATATACTCCTTTAYCCTGAGAACCTTCACATGAAGGATGTGCTCTGCACAGCCAGCTGCCACATCTTACCTGCAACTAATACCTACCTTCACTAGTTACCAAAACACAGCAAGAAATGTGCACTTTGCTTTTGACAGCTGATGGAATCAGAATTTCTCTCAAGCGGCAGTGACAGGTGTATCTGCCACTTCAAAAGCAACTTCGCCTTGCCCAGAAGTTGGATCATACACACCTGGAACATGTTTAATTTTCATAAGAGCTGTGTTCTATAAATATTTTTAAAGATTATATGTGTCCAACCAGATTTTTGCATTTCACCTCAGAAGGCATCTGTAAAGTTTAGTATAAATTCCCAATCACTTTCACAACAGATCAGAAGGGAGCTGATGTTATTCAAACATAAAGAAAATGGCATTTTTAACATCTTTTCAATGACCAGGAAATTTAAAACACCTCTTGCAACATACAGTATCAGTTATTATTGGGTACTGTTTTCTTACTTTATTCTTTTGCGTTTATTAATATATAACGCTTGCACAGCGCGTRCAAAGATATGTGAACTGGTATCTTTCCTCCATTTTTGATCAGCTTTCAGTATTTCATCTTTGAGTCTTTTTCTTTCCCCTCCATAGGCAGAGGCCAAAGTGTGAAGCTTGAACTAACCCTTAAACACATTTTTCATGTATGTAATTTTCCATACATGGCAGAATTTGCTTATTCTTTCCTTCATGCTTGAATCAATACTCTACACCACACAACACCAGTTGATTACTGCAATTAATTTAGAGTAATCCATCATATCACCATCCAGTGTTGAAGAAAGAGGAGCTGCTGAGCTAAGGGTTTTCTTTTCTTTTTTCTTTTTCTTTAATTTACAGTGTGATATATAGAAAAGTTCAGAACTTGCATTCAATAACGAAGCTGAAAGTTCAAGTGGAGTTTTAAAGGTTTTTATGGCCCCTTTATTCTCAAAGAATTTTTTCAAGAAGTTCAATTTTCACTTCTTGAAAACACTGAAGAGAACTTAAGAAAACTTCCCTATTTAAATGTTAGTTTGTGTTATATGGTGATATATAGCAGAAATGGAGATGCAAAATTCTTGTCATCTAGTCCAAACCTCTACAAACTTCTAAGAAATCTTAGAGCAGACAGACTATATGGAAAATATTATTACATACATTTTTCTCCTTGGATTTCTGTTGAAAATTTTCTTAATAAATACAAAGTAGGCACTAATGCAACTGCTTCAACTTTGAGATAGAATCTTTTCCTTCTTGTTTCTAAAGTTCATACACACTTTATCTTAAGGTGACAATATCTGTTATAACACACCAGTCCCCCCTACTATCTCTACTAGGTCATATTATGTAGTTTAAAAAAAAAAAAAAAAAAAAAAAAAAAGAAGAGAGAGAGAAAGAGAGAAGAAAATGAAATTCTGGGAGATTAAATCTCTAAGTGGACATGAAGATCAGCTTACAGCACTTCCCAATGAGATAATGAAGGAGGAAAAAGTGGAGGAAATTCAACTGAAGAAGAGGCATCTGCCTCATTTCACAGCCACTAAAAGGGCTTATTCTCCATCTCACAGGGAAACCTTAGAGCCTTGAATCAATCACAGCTTTAAGAAACTTCTTCCAGAGTGTCCAGAACAGCCACTGAAATGGTAAGGGGTCAGGAAAGAGAGCATGAGGAAATAGCAGCTGTAGTCTGGAGGAAGATCCCTGCCTGATAAGGGAAGACCCTGAGGAGATCATCCAGGCTGAGGTCACCACAGTGGTCTCCATTCAGGGCCACTCTGGGAACCCACCAGCAAGGCCCTTCGGAGCTAAAAGCCACAACTGCACTGACAAAAGTGACGCTCTGCCAGACTTGCAACTCTGAGGGTCAGACATAGAGGGAAACACGTCAAACACTATGGCCACAAGGTTATGTTATCATTAAAAATAGTGAGATATTATTCATACATTTTTTTTTTCTCTGGGTTAAACAAATGCGGTTTTCTTAGCCTGATTCAAACTATCTCAATGCAAATTTTCAAAATGTTGAAGAAAGACAGTTTCACCTCAATAATTTTAAATTATTCAAGCATATATAAAACAGCAGGATACATGAATAATTAAATGCTCTGTAAGTCTTTGTTTCAGAGTGGAAAGTGTAGGGATTTCCATTTCCAAAGATACTCATGGAACTTTCTTTTCCAGATGAAAAACTGGCTACAGTCACAATTGGAATAAACATTTTGATAACATGATTTCAGTAAAGAGGAGATGGGGGGAGGAGGTAGGGGAGCCTTGAGAAAACTTCCATTCTCAAAACAAACTAACCTCCTGCAACTGAAATCCCCTTTTATTTCCTGTACAGGTGCCAGGTCTTGAACAGACACCCAATTTATTACCTTGTCAGCTGACTTATTAGGGTTGACACAAATCGAGCTGAAATATGCCTGACATACTGCAGTCAAGGCTTTTTTCACGCTTTAGCATAAAGCCAAACTTTCCACAAGGTGGAGGGAAGGGGAGAGGGAGATGTGGGAGTTCTATTCCCTGTTTTCTATCATCAAGATGAATATGATCCTCTCCCATTCTTAATATGCAAAACCAGGCATGAAATAACCCAAGGTTAAAAAATAATTCACCAAAATGATACAACTGGGAAATGATTATCAGGCTCTGGAAAGCCCTTGATTACAGGAAATAGCACCTACATTTTGAGAAAATGTTCCCACCAGACACAAAAGCTGAATCAAAGTTTCTCCTCTTCCTCAGCATGGCTTTCTCTGACATCTTAGCCTAAATAATCCAAATCCCCAGTCTTCCTTGAGGAGAAAAAAAAAATTAACAACTGCAAAATGAAGTAAAATAGAGGTGAGTTCAGTCTCCCTACTTGCTGTATTACATGGTATACGACATAATTCTTTGTCTGGAGCAGCTGACTTTTGCTTCACCACAGCCATTCCTGCTGCACTTCACTTTGTATTAAATTAGAGGATAAAAAGTAAAGTTTCTTCAATCCACTAAAACAAATTTATACTAGTGCATTGAACTAGTGGATAAACTCATGTTAATTTACATTACTCAAAGGAAGAAAATATAAAATAACAGCTTTGGGAAACTAAAGAAGACAAGTTAGTTTCACGTTAATTTTATTATTATGTCCTTCCTTCCTACATAATTTAAGTCATTTGTCATTTATCCTTTTTCTTTCATACATAAATTTGCAATCAATTAAAAACCTACAAACCAGGCAAGTCATATATTTTTATGAGCAGTCCCACTTTCCGTAGTAATCTACTCTATATACCCACTGCCATAGATTTATAGAGAGTTTCTCRTTCAATTTAGCTGCTGATCTTTAATAGACCATTACAATTGTGAGTTGAAAAATTTAAAGTGCAATTGTGCTTATTGCCTAACAACTTATTCTTCTTCCATTATGAGAGTGGAAGTTGTATTTCTGTAGACTTATTCATATCACTCCAGCACACTGGTAAGCTTCATGAGAAAAGCTCTAATAGAGAAGGAAGACTATGTTTTTCTGAGCATGTCAGTATAATGATTTAAAATATGCTCTGTTCAAGTAAATTCAGGACACACCATACTTGGAGAATATCATCTCCTGTGAGACAACAGACTCAAGTTTTTAATATTTGTATAAATAACAGCTTATAAATATAAGAGAAATGCTTACTAAGTATCTTTTTTTTTCAGTAGAGGATCTSATTTTGATCTTTTTTACTTGCACGAGAATAGTTGTTCCACTGAAGTCAGCATATTTACATTAAAGTTTAAGCTAGATTAGAAACAAGCCTGTAATATTCTCAAAGGTCACATATAAACAGAACTTATGAGGAGTGGGATAAAGCTATTCTGTTCAGCTCTAACGGAATGCAAGTTCTGAATTTACCTAAAACAAAGGAAGAGGTAAAAGATAATGGTTCCTGCAGTCTATAAAAATAGAGTGAAATGATTTGAATGAGTCATCACAGTACATCAGATAATGAAATGAGGAAAAATATTTACATCAGAATTTTGGTCATATGTCTGAATCTTTAAAATCATAGTTTGGTTTTGTTCATGATATACACAGTGTTGAAAGTCTATTGTTTTCAGTTCTACAACA